CCAACTCCGTTTCAACAAAAGTGTCAAGAACATACTCTGAGGAAAAGACAGTCTTTTCAATAAATGGTTCTGGGAAAACTAGATAACTATATGCAGAAAAACGAAACTAGATCCCCTATCTCTCACCTTAAACAAATATCAAATCAAAATAGATTAGACTTAAACCCACGACCTGAAATTATAAAACTACTAGAAGAAAACATTGGGAAAACATTCCAGGACATTGGTCTGGGCAAAGAGTTTTTGTGGAAGACCTCAAAAGCACAAGCAACCAAAGCAAAAATAGACAAAGGGGATTACATCAAGCTAAAATGTTTCTGCACAGCAAAGGAAACAATTAGCAAAGTGAAGAGACAACTCACAGAATGGGTGAAAACATTTACAAACTACCCATCTGACAAGAGTTTAATAATCAGAGTATATAAGAAGCTCAAACAACTCAACAGCAAATAAAAGAGTCCAATTTAAAAATGGGCAAAAATTCTGAATAGACATTTCTCAAAAGAAGACATATGAATGGCCAACAGGTATACGAAAAAAGGATCAACATCACTAATCATCAGAGAAATGCAAATCAAAACTACAATGAGATGTCATCTCACCCCAGCAAAAATGGCTTTTATCAAAAGACAGGCAATAACAGATGCTGGTGAGGATGCAGAGAAAGGGGAACCTTCCTACACTGTTGGTGGAAATGTAAATTAGTACAGCCACTATGAAGAAGTATGGAGGTTCCTCAAAAAAGTGAAAATAGAATTACCATGTGATCCAACAATTTCACTACTCAGTATATATACAAAAGAAAGGAAATCGATATATCAAACTGACCCCTGCACTCTCATGTTTATTGCAACACTATTCACAAGAGTCAAAATATGGAATCAATGTAAATGCCCATCAATGGATGAATGGATAAATAAAATGTGGCATATATAAGCAATGGAATGTTATTCAGCCATAAAAAAATAACCTGTCATGTTGTTGCAGCAACATGGATCGATATGGAGGTCATCATGTTAAGTGAAATAAGCCAAGCCCAGAAAGACAAAACATCACATGTTCTCAGTCACATGTGTGAGCTAAAAACTGGATCATATGAAGACAGAGAGTAGATTGGTGGTTGCAGAGGCAGAAAAGAGTGGAGTGGGGGAGAAAGGATGAAAAGAAGTTGATTAGTAGGTATAAATATATACAGTTTGATAGAAGAAATAAGACCTAGTGTTAAATAAATCCGTGAGTGACTATAGTTTACAATAAGCTATTATATATTTGAAAATAGCAAGAAGAGAAGAATTTGAATGATTCTAGCATAAAGAAAAGGCAAACAGATAAGGTGATAGATATTCCAAGTACACTGATTTGATCTTTACAAATTACATGAATATATTAAATTATCACATGTACCCTGAAACCATGTTCATCTATTAGCATCAATAAAAATTTAAAATGGAAAATTTTAAAAATTAGCCCTAAAATGCATAAGAAGAAATCTAAGTCAAGGTATCTCCCCTTATTGAGCCCACATCTGGGAGGCGGCATGAAGAAATGAAATGAACAGGAGCAACAATGGAAAGAGAACAGGCTCTGGAATCAAGCAGGCCTTGATGTGACAGGCAATGGAACCTTAGACCATCACATAAGCATCAAACACTGAGCTTTCTCAACTGCAAGACACAAACAACAATATTCATTTCATGGGTCTATTGTAAGCATTGTCCATGATATATTTATAGTGCCTGGCACAGAGTAGGTGCCAAAATTTGGCAGTTATTAATAGACAATTCACTTAACTCTGAGCTTAGTTTTATTATGTATAACAGGAAGGCAATAATTCCTATGAGAGAATAGACATAAAAAGGATTTCTGAGTTTTAAAATTCTCTGAAGAGTTAATATTGTTATGAATAATTGGGAAGTCAGTATATATAGATATAGAGCACTGGCTAATACATAGGTTACATAAAAGTGTATGATTTCTATCTCTGGAAATACCGTAAACCAGGGCTGCAGGGGAGAGGGGAAGGGGCAGGTTGCAGTATTAAAAATAGTGGTCAAACAAGTACATGTAACTGCAGCACTATTCACAATAGCAAAGAAATGGAATCAACCTAGGTGCCCATCAACGAGGGACTGGATTTAAAAAAAAAAAAAAGTGGTACGTATACACCATGGAATACTATGTAGCCACAAAAAAGAATGAAATCATGTCCTTGGCAGCAACATGGATGCAGCTAGAGGCCATTACCCTAAGCAAATTAACACAAGAACAGAAAACCAAATACCACATGTTCTCATTTATAAATGGGAGCCAAACATTGAGTACATATGGACACAAAGAAGGAAACAATAGACCCTGGGGCCTACTTGTGGGCGGAGGGTAGGAGGAGGGTGAGAATTGAAAAACTACCTATCAGGTACTATGCTGATTGCCTGGTTGACAAAATTATCTGTACACAAAACCCCTGTGATGTACCATTTACCCATGTAACAAACATGCACATGTACCCCCTAAACCTAAATTACAAGTCGGAAAGAAAAAAGAATAGTAGTTAGAATGGGTCTCATTAAGAAAGCAAGACTTGAGCACAGACTTGTGGGAGGTGAGAGAATATCTGTGGGAGGGGCCTCCTGAAAGAGGGAAAGGTTAGAGCCAAGGCCCTACAATGGGAGCGGGCCTGAGTGTTGAGGAGTGGCTCCGGGCCAGTGTGGCTAGGGCAGCACAAGTGTAAGGAAGAGTGATGGGCAAAAACTCCAAGAGGAAACAGCAGTCAGACGATGCACAGCCCTAGTGCGCATGTTAAGGGCTTTGACTTTTACTCTCAGTGAAAACTATGACAGGGTTTTAAGCATAGGAATAACATGATCTGACCTATGTTTTAGAAGAATTACTTTGAGAATAAAATTTCCAGTAGCAAGTAGAGAAGCAGGCTAACCTGAGCAAAAGCTAACACAGGGATCCAGGTAGCAGATAGTGGCTGAAAGCCAAATTAGAAAGAGTTTAAGAGAAAAAATGGCACAGCTAAGAGATTAGCACAACTCTTGACTATGAAGCTGCAAACACAAAATTCAGTGCAGGGCCTGGAGAGTGCTCATGTGAGTGAGGGGCCCTGACGCTTAAGCTCTGTCAGCATCCATGCACACCCACCTCTGTACAAGCCAAGGCCCCTGGCCTGGTCAGTTGGGTGGATGGTGAGGTGCTTACCAAGTTGGGTACCCAGGAGGAGATGAGAGTTTGCAAGCAGGAAGAAGACAGATCATGCCTTTCATTGTGAGATTTTTGAGATTCAGGGGTCAGTGCAACATCTAAGTGAAAATGGCCAGGCTCTTTCTGTTCCTAACGAAACTGCCCAGAGCTACCAGGATAACCTTTCTAAAAGGCACATCTGATCAAGTCACTTTCCTGCTTAAAAACCTCAGTGCTTCCCTTTGCCCATATTCCTTTATAAAGAAACAGTGTCTCACAGTCTAGCCCTGGCCTGTCTTTCCAACTATGTCTTCCTCCATTCCATCCCCGGCACACTGCTCCCTCTGACTTGCAAGTCCCTCTGTCTACAGTGTCCTTCTCTAACTACCGAACTCCTCCTCTCCCTACACTGCCCGGATCTAATAACTTCTGTGAAACCACGTTCCCTCCTGCACCTCCTCCAAGGCAGGACTAACCACTTCCTCTCTGCTGACTCAAAGCCCTCTGTACACAGTTCCATGAAATCCGCACCCAGAAATATGAACCCATAGAGGCAGGGTCGACAGTGGAACAATCATGGGCCTTAGAATTAGATTAACCTGGGTTAAAACACACAACGCGTGCTGTATATAACTTTAAGCATGTTATTTAGTTTCTCTAAGCTCAGCTTCTTATAAAGGTAATGCCTATTTTATAGAATCGGTGTCAAGATTAAATGAGATAATTTAAGTAAATCACCCCAGATAGGACCTGGCACACAATAGGTCTCCAAAAATTATCATTTCCCTCCAGACCCTGTTCTTCTTGGGCAGAAAATATGTTTAATTTATATTCTATATGTCCCATTGTCACTGGTCACCCAGCACATAATAGGTGCTTGATAGACATTAACCTGAATGAATGGACCCTGTCTCCTCAGAAACATTTAAATATACATTTTAGAAGCACATGAGTTCAGAGGTTAGGATAGAAATTCTAAAGTGGACCTTGGCATGTAAATCCCCTGGGGTCTAATATCAAACCAATTGCTTCCCCTTGGCAGCAGCAGCAGAGCCCTTCTGTGTCTCCGGGGAGCATTCAGCCGTCCAGTCGGTGAAGATTTCCCTCATTGCTCTTCAGAGCTTCCGTTACATCGTGCTCTTCTCACTTCCTTCTCAGCTGTGCTCCCACTCCTGAGCCTTGTTTGTTCTGTTTCCCTCCGCCATTTTTCACCACACACCATATGGCCCTTCCCTGCCTACCTTAAGCTTGGAACTTCACAGCCTTCTCCAGGCTTCCCCAGGGCAACCTGGGCCCTCTGGGCCTGCTGAGCACCCCCTGTCACTAGCAGCCCTGCCCTGAGGCTTACTTTGAAACCCAACACTGTTCCTAAGGAGACGCAGGACACAGAGTCTTTCAGTAAATTCACGTCAGGGGCTAGTTCTGCCAGTTAACTATGAGCCTAGAGTGTTTTGAACAGGTGGTGATCTTCCAAACACAATATGATCATGTGTTTAATCTTAGAATCGTGAGAGGCTAGTAGGGCAGATACAGAAAAACACAATTTTACCTATTTTTTTCAACCTCCTCCAGCATCCAATGAGGCAGCCTCCTAGCGCAGAGCATCCTGTATGAACTCTGGAGTCTCGTGGACACAAGTTTGTGTCCCAGCTCTGTATCTTCCTAGTGGTATCGTACATATGCTTCTCAAGTTCTCTAAACCTTAGTTTCTTCATTTGTGAAACTGAGATAACAATACCTGTCACACAGAGTTATTAGTTGGTATCATGCATTTATTTGTTATCTAGCAATGCATAACAAATCAACTCAAAACTTAGTGCCTTGCAAAAGCAATGTTGTTTATTAGCTCTTGTGGGTTTTGTGGGCCAGGAATTTGCGAGCAGCCAAGCTGAGCTCGTCTGACTCGGCGTCTCCCATGAGACTGAGGCAGACTGGTCAGTGGCTAGAGCTGGGGTCAATTTCAAGTCTTCTTCATTCACAGGTCTTGTTCCTGGGCTGGGAAAACAAACAGCTGGAGCAGGGGCTGGAGCAGCTGTGGCTCCCCAGGCACTTCCCTCTATCCCTTTGGGACCCACCACATGGTCCTTCCACATGTTCCTTCAAGGTCTCTGGATTTCTTGAGGTAGCTCAGGGCTCCAAAGGCATTTGTCTCACTTGAGAGAGAAACAGATGAAACCATATCATCTTTTCTGGCCTGGCTGGAAAGTCACACAATAGCATCACTTCCATTGCCTTTTATTTGTTAGAAGCAAGTAACTACCACCAGACTGTATTCTAGGGGAGCAGAATTAGACCCCTCCTTTTTTTGAAAGAGTGCTGAAAATTTGTGGACATCCTTTAAAAACACCATAGTGTGGGTAACGCCCAGTCCTCAATAAGAAGCAGCAAATTTTTTTATGTATCAGATGAGTTGAAAAATAAGACAAAAAATACCTGTGTGCCCTATCGTTCCTATCTTAACTCTCCACAAACACACGCACCATGAAACAAGGTGAAAGCACTTAGCAATGTAGGCAAAAGGTAAAAAGGAAGCATAAAAAGGGGAGACAAAAATAATGATCATTGACATTTATTGATCACTTGCTCAGTGGCAAGCCCAGTGTTAAATGCCTTACATACATTATCTATTTTAATCCTCAGAACAATCCCACGGGTTCATTATTAACCCTCTTTTTTGGAGGAGAATTCTAGAGTCTACCAATGTTAGTGCATTGTCCAGGATTAGACAGTTTTGTAAAGACATAACAAGGAGTGGAACACAGGTGAGCTGACTCCAGAACCCATGTGCCCAACCACTGTGCACACTACTGAGATCATTTCAGCTGAGACAAGCAGCTGGGAAACCTTTGGCTTAATTTTTCCCTCCCTTGGAAACACCAATTTGAGAGGCAGGGTATCTGAGGGAGCAGGTGGAATAAAACCCAAGAATTCAAAAGTTCTTGAGTCTGGAAAGAGAAATGCCAGGTTGTTGTTGATGGGAAGAGAGCACAAGAAGTAAAAGACTGCCAGACAGCCAGGTAGCAGGGAGGCTGGGATGCCTGGCCCCACTCGGCCACTTACTGAACTCTCCCCACGTGCTTAGCAGAGAAGGCCTTGAGCAGTCTAACAAGGGTCTCTTCCACCACCACTGTGCCAGCTGAGCTATCTCAAGCTTGTGCAGTTTAGCACCGCCTCCTACTTCTCCTCCCACCAGGAATAATTCAGGGGATTTCCCACAGCCTCTCCTTCAGGATGTAGAAACCACCCCACTTTGAGTTGACAGGTGTCCTGAAACTTTACTGGATGATTAAACAGGAAGAGATTGTTGAACAGGGACTGAGGAAAATCTTGTCATCAGATTCAGTCCTTCTGGTAAGGCCTTGGGTGGGGCACTAAGGGGATGAAGCACAGTTTTCTCCAGGGCCCACAAGAGCATCATGTGGCCCAGACCCTGGACCCAGGCCCATGGAGGTTCTGGCACAGGGAGAGATGAGCTGTGGTCTCACTCAGGGCTCCTGAGAACTAGAGCAATGGCTCTTGCACTTGGCCACACTTAGGTCCTCACCCCAGCCTCCTCCAGTATCTCATTCCTTGGATGCCTTCTGAGATCCACTCCTGGGTGTCCAGGGCCCTCTCCTCATTTGTTCCTTTCCATCCCTCTTGTCTGAACTTGTTTTAGACTATAGTTGCTCTCAAAGTACTTTCTTCTTTCCTATTATAGGATAGCCTTCAAAGTATCCCTAATTCAATATATTCAAAGTCCATCATTCAAAAAATGTTTGTGAGGTACATACTATCTGCACACATAGTTCTAGGCACTGGGGATTCTGCAAGAAACAGGATAGGCCACATCCCTGGCTTCCCTGAGCTTATAGTCCAGGGAGCCTTAACAAAAGGAGAGTTCAGATTTCACACACACACACACACACACACACACACACACACACACAAAAGCGTAGGTGGGTAGGGGCAGCACAGGAGAAACATTTGAAATAATGTTGGTAATTTTCATTTTACACCTAACTGAAACTACAGCAGCCAGAGTTTGTGACGCATGATGGAAGTGAGATGCCATCTCTGGCACTGAACGACAGCCTGCAGCAAGTCACTTGGCCTCTCAGCCATCCTTCAAGGGCCACCTGTGCAGGCTGGACATTCACCCATACAGACCTTACCTGTGGCAGGAATGTGGTCTGTGCCTGGCTTCTGTCATCACTCCCTGCCTGGACTTTCCAGCCAGAGGATTCGTGGGAGGGGAAAATTGCTCCAATCCACCAAGATACTTCCTCTTGCCTTGACCTCTCCCCGGTTTGCAATAGTGATCTCATGGACCTTTGCAAGCTCTGTCCACAGACTGCTTCTAGAAGCAGGTGCTTGGCTGGTTGGTATCATGTGGGGCACAAGCCTTGCCAGGGGTTGACGTAGCCTCACTTTAAATTGAAAATGTACATGGCAGGAAGCACCAAATAATTAAACTGTTAAGTAGATAAAAGAGGAGTTTTACATTAAGAACAAGACATTTTAAAAACTGGAATGAAAATTTCACATGAATTTCAAAGTTTAAGAACATTGGAAGTCAAATAAATTTCAGCTTTTTGGCTGGCAGCTTTAGGCTTTGCCCCCCGCCCCACACCACCCCAACCAATTCTACAGGGCATTTACTTTCCCTCTCCTCTGCCCTACATTGTAGGGCAAAGTTCTGGTAAGTTCTGGTAAGAGACATGCACTCTGATGGTGCCCTTGCCTTTATGATAACCTCTCCCAAATGCTAAGAAGGGAGAGGCAGATGGGAGCGAAACAGGCAGCTTTGCTCAGCTGTTAGCATGCTCTCATAGCAGCAAATCCAACTAGAAGTGGCCCTGAGCAACAAGGACAAATTATTGTCTCTCACAATAAGAGCTTCCAAAGTAAAGAAGCTCCAAGGTTACTTAAATGAGAAGCTCAAAAATGTCATCAGGGACCAAGATTCTTTCCATTTTGTTTCTCTGCCATTCTCAGTTTGTTGATATTTGTTCCTGCAGTATCCAGACAGTCAAGCATCATATACACACACAATGATAAGGGGGGCAGGAAGAGAGGGAGCACTCCTACCTTGAATCCTTTTTAAAAAACGAGAAGAACTTTTCCAGTAGGTTCTGCCACCCTAGCAGATTTCCCCTCCTATCTCACTGGACAGAATCATAGCACAACCTCACAGGCAGGAGGAATAGAATTTCTGGAATTGGCTTATCTAATCCAGATTCTTCCACCTCCTAGAGGTGCTTCTCCCTAAAGAGTGTGGCCACTGATACCTGAGCCAAATCAGGGTTCAGTTAGTAAGGCAGAGTGCAGTGAATGGCTGTCGGCAGCTACGCAGCCACCGGAGCGTGACCTCAACACCCCCATCATCCCCCACCCACCATCACAAAGAAACCTGTGGGAAAACAGGGTGATTAAGGGGGGAAAAACAAATGTCAAGTGGCTCTCTGTTCCTGAGATGAAAGAGCTTTGTTATGCTTTTGTTTTCAATCATCTGGTTTATGCAACACTTCATTAGCCAAATCCATTAAGTTGCTTTCCAAATTTGGAAAAGTTTTGTCAGCTTGGAAGAAAGCAGCGGACCGAGTTCTGCTGAAGCCTGACCTCTTCCACTGAGCAGGTTATGGATATGCCTCCCCACTTAGTGGCTGGGCACACACTTGTATGCCAGGGTCACTGGGAAGTGTAATCAGAAGAACAGAACATGAAAGCTGGGTCTTAGTGCTCATCCACTCTCCTGAATGCTGTGCATCTCATTACAAAGAGAAGCTTGTGGAAGAGCAGACAGGAAAGCGCTTGCCCACGGTCAGGCAGCAGAGTGACAGAGGCAAGAAGGGAGCCCCATGTGGCATTCATCTGTTTTCACAAAGTCTCTTAGCTCCAGCTCGGGCCCACCTGGCCAAAAAGCCTTCTTACAATTCTATAAATACCTTCAAATAACCAGTCCCGTATAGCAGACCACAAGAACAGGAAGCGAGGTGGAGAGGCGGATGTGGGGAAGGGAATTGGGATGACCTTCCTGAAATATAAACATTCCCCAAACCTACAGAAAGTGGGCATATCTAATGCTGGAGTTGAATAGAAGGAGCTAGTTCATCTTCTTTAGCTGAAGTGGATAAGTTGCAAGACACCAAAGGAAGGAAAGAAGTGAAGAGAGCATTTAATGATCCAGTTAAAAGTAAATATGATACTAGATCCTAACAGGCAAAAGTGAGTTTAACTACAAAAAAAGAAAAGGCCTTTGTTCTTGCTTCACATTCTCCATAGATCTAAACAAAGCTGCCCAAATATCTCACAGGCTCTAAAAACTTCCTTTCAGAAGTCCTACTTTTTATTATCTCAAGCATATGAAGATACACACATATCACACATTTAAAATAATTGATATATAACACAATAAGAGTTAAGTGGTAGTCAATTTCTTTTCTAATTGAAAATAAAGATTTCATAGACACTAACTTAAACATTCACTTCTTTTTTTATATTGCAGTTTTCTGTACGTTTTGTGTTTACATTTTCGCCATGTCTCACATGTCGCAAATATTTTAACAGACCCTTGAAAAGATATAAACCCTAGACCCATGCTCACAGCATCAAATGGATAAAATGAGAAACCATGGATCCTTAGACCCTGTGACTCCACAGAGAGGGAGTGGTGGGAGCTGAATTGAGCCAGGCACTCTTACCATCTGTCACTTACCTTAGCAGTATGCCTAACAGGACTGGTTTGTATCTATGTAATACTTTGTAGCTTACCCAGATCTTTTGTGTATTTGATTTCATTTGATTCTCTTCAACAGCTTAGGATATAGACACTAAATTAGTTGTATTGATAAGAAAATTTTCATGTAAAGTGATTAACTTGTTTAGTGTCATGCAACTAGTAAGTGAAGAAACCCAAGTTTAGAGGTCTTACCGCTCTAAATAATCATCTGCCTTGAATCACAACAAGCTGCCTTCAACTCTTTGTTGACAAATATCTTCTGAGTTTTCTCCTTCATGACTGAGAAGGAATGAGCCATCTCAAGGTCCGAACCCTTTGGATAAGTGGCACTGGAGGAAGAGGCCTGAAGGAGAGATGTCACAATGCCTGGGATGACGAGCAGGCCCACTAAGGGATAAAGGAGGATTCTGTCTTGGTTCATTTGAGCAGCTATAACAAAATACTACAGGGTGGGTAATGTATAAACAATAGAAATTTATTTTTCTTGGTTCTGGAAGCTGAGAAGTACAGGATCAAGACACAGTAGCATTAGCGACTGGTGAGGGCTGCTCTCTGCTCCCAAGATGGTGCCTTGTTGCTACATCCTCCAGTGGGGAGGCCCTCTCCTAAGGGTGCTAATTGCATTCATGAGGGCAGAGCCCTTGTGACTTAATTACTTCCCAAAGGCTATACCTCTTAATATTATTGTATTGGGGATTAAATTTCAAAGTGAATTTTGGAAGGGACACCATCAAATAACAGTAACTCCTAATATAAACCAAAGAAAACAGCCTCTTCTGGGTGATATCTTTAACATGCCAATAGCTGAGTGGTTAGAAACTCAACTCAACACTCTGACCCAAGGCTTGAACCCCAGGAAGGATGAAGTTATTTAAGAGGGCTGATCTAGAGAGCTCTTGAGGTAATCAACCCGTTTTCTGTAATGGCCATGTGGGCTCCTAAAAGCTGTAAGGCCTGTGTCTGTGACAGTGTCTTGTCACATAATAGGCACCCCATCCATGTCTGTGCTCACCTCTTTGCTTGGTCAACCCTCATTAATGACTCCTAAGTTATCTTTCCAATCCCCATCCCTTGATCAGATTGAATTGTGCATGTGATACGCCAATTAGAAATCCAAAGCAGGGTTATATGCATTTCAAGTGATTGTGCTGGTGTACTCTTTCAATCAGAACTTCCTTTTAAAACATTGGTTCATCAAGTTCTCCTTTGAAGGACAATTTATTATATTAATAGTGCTAATCCTGATATTGTAAATCACATACTTGACATAGCATTGTTTATAGTCAGGTGCACTTCTTTCGAAAGCCTGGTGATATCATAGGAAACCAAATATTCCTCCCTTATCACTCCCCATGCAGGCATTCTTTCCTGCACTCTAGAAATGATATTACGTAGTTTTTAGTAAATGGTAGCAGGGTGGGGGAGCTACCATTGCGAGGTTGACTTCCCACCACATTTGGAATAAAATCCGAAGTCCAAATCCTTTCCACAGCCCCTGCCAACCTCTCCAACCTCTCCAATCTCATTTTCTATTCGATCTTTTTGTTGTTGTTGTTGTCGTTTTTGTTACAGGGTCTCATTCTGTCACCCAGACTGGCATGCAGTGGCAAGATCATAGCTCACTGCAGCCTCAACTTCCCAAGTTCAAGCAGTCCTCCCGCCTCATCTCAGCCTCCCAAGTAGCTGAGACTACAGGCATGTGCTACCACGGCCAGCTAATTTTTGTATTTTTTGTAGAAATGGGGTCTCAATATGATATCCAAGCTGGTCTCGAACTCCTGGACTCAAGGGATCTTCCTGCCTCAGCTTCCCAAAGTGCTGGGATTACAGGTGTGAGCCACCACACCCAGCCTCAATCTCATTTTCTAATACTCTCCTTCCCCTCAATATTTCAGCCACATGACCTGTCTTTTAATTCTTTGAACACTGAAGTCTCTTCTTACCACAGTGTCTCAAAGTACAGTGTATACCCCTCCTAGAAAGATTTTTCACAACTGATTCCTTGATCCTCAGGTCTTGTTTGAATGTGACCTCCTTCCTTGACCACAAAAGTACAGTAGGTTTGCCCCTCCACAGTTTGCCTCTTATTATCCAGTTTTTATCCTTTGAAGCACTTATTCAAATTTATAATTGAATCTTTTGTCACCTTCTCTGTCTTTCTCAGACTATAAACTCCTGAGAGCAGAGATGTTTGTCTTGTTCATGATGGCGTCTCTAGTGTCTATCACAGAGCATAGCACCAAGTAGGACCTCAATAAACATTCTGTGTTTTTTTGAGACAGCATCTCACTCCATCGTCCAGGCTGGAGTCCAGTGGCACAATCTCAGCTCACTGCAACCTCCACCTCCCGGGTTTAAGCAGTTCTCATGCCTCAGCCTCCTGAGTAGTAATTAATAAATATATTTTGAATGAATGAATGAACAAATGCTTTAAGAGAGAGTTATCTTTTGCTCTCTGACTTTCTTTCCTATTTACCCACTTCAGATTCTTCCTGGAGACTGAGGAGCATTGTCTTCTATTCAGAGGAGTCTTCTAGGGAATAGAGATAAATTAGTTTGGTGGGGGTGGTGGGAGAGTAGTTGGGTAGTTGGCTCCTGCCTACAGGATAAGGTATGAAATGTACCGAGAATGAAGAAAAATGTGTAGAATGTAGGTTGGAGGTCATGGTGAATTCAAGAACTCAGTTCCAGGGAGTAGAAATCTATCCTTACAATCTAAAGGAACTACTCATTTTGGAGCTGTCCATAGCTTTGTAGGTGAAAGATTAGAACCCCTATCAAATGTAGGTCATATGCCATCCCAGGGTAAGACTTATCATGGGTTTTATCATTTTGAAAAGATTACTTAGGACTTGCCTAGCAGAAGAGAGTTCCTGGGTCCCTCAGGAGGAGAAGATGCTACAGACCAGGAACTGCCTTCCCCATACTCCTTAGTCTATCTGAGCCCAAAGCAGGGTACCAAGCAGCCCCCTGTGGCATTCGCTGGGTGTTGCTGATGATGACTTTATTTAGAGAGCATGATTGGGGAGATTGTCCCCTAGTCTGATTTTAACTTTCCATGGAATTCTAACATGGTAGTGTTCACTAACTTTCCATGGAATTCTAACACAAGATGTTCCACTACCAAATGTCCCAAATAAACCTCAGCTCAGCACATATGGACAGAAGAAAGCTGCCACCCTACCACAATTTACTTTCCCTCTAAGACTCCTATTTTCTCTTCCTTCCTTCCTTCCTACCCACCCTCCCTCCCTCCTTTCTTTCTTTTCTTTTTCTTTCTTCTTTCTTTTTTTTCCTTCCCCTCCCCTCCCCTCCCCTCACCTTACCTTACCTTACCTTTCTATTTGAGACTGGGTCTGCTTGGTCACCCAGGCTGGAGTTTGGTGATGTCATTAGAACTCACTGCAGTCTCAAACTCCTGGGCTCAAGTCATCCGCCCACCTCAGCCTCCCAAGTAGCTGGGACTACAGTTGCTCACCACCATACCCGGCTACTTTTTTTTTCTCTGAAATAGGGTTCTAACCA